ACGAAATAGCCAGATCGAGGACGAAAACTCGAGAAGAGGCGGCAACTTTCATAAATAGTAGTCCACCATTTTGCAATCATTTGATCAACAGATAGAATATTTACTCGCTGCTTTATATATGTATAAATATATGCAACAGCAAAAGTTGAATTAAATTGATTAAAAAATTTAGACTACTAAATATTCAGATTATGTTAACGTAAAATGTGTTTGAAGTTTAGTAAGAAATGCGCTATATATTCTCTGTATTTTGCATCTTTTGTCCGTTTTATTTTGAAAACGCTTCCGTGCAAAAGACGTACCTATATAAAAACTTTCACCAAATAAATAAAGAACAGTTTCCGTAGAATAAAACAATATTTTATTTCAAAGTTAGACAAGGCTGCTTAAAGCTTCATAATAGCACTGCTGGATACTCCGGAAATATGATCGTTACTTCCTTTTTGCTTGTTCCCCGTTGACAAGTTCGTGATTTCTGAAATATCCCGTCGATACCCGAACGGTCGAACGCATATAGTATAAAGGGTTACTGAAAATACCGACAAACATCCGGAGAAAAATCTGTGCGGGCCATCGAGGCACGCGTATAGGCTCAGCGTGCAAGAACACGGCAGAACGAGGGACAAGGACGAGGAGGGAAAGGGAAGAAGATTGGAGCTGGTGAGGGAGAGAGAGAGAGAGGGAGAAAAGGTAGAGTTCTCTCCTGGCCTGAGATGCGTGGGCGAGTGTGAGCTTGTGTCGCACGAGTCACCACTCTTGGTTGCCCTGGGCGTCCCGCCGTCCGTCATCCTGTCTGCCCGTCCGTATTTCGTAGCGCACGCACACGCACCGTCGCTCGCGTGCACGCGCGCATCCGTACACGCGTGCTCGCGCGCGCGACTCATCGCGCATCAGCGTTCCGCCAATCATGCACGACGCGGGACCCCGGCCACGCAAATGAGCCGCGTCTTTTTGGCCAGTCAAAGTGTCACACACACGGCCGACGGCGGTATTGCGATTTACGTGTTTATTTTTGCCCGCGCGTTGATTTGTTTTACAATGAAATTGAGATTCGGATCTTAATGCCGGTGTTTTTGTCGCCCGGCCAGCAATTATAATCCGAAGTCCGTAATGTTGTAAAATCATCCGCGATTTCTTATCTGTAATTTTATCGAAGGCGTTTCGATCGTACTTTTTTTTTTGCTTTGTAAAAAATTGAATTTTTCTTTAATAGTGATGTGTGATGTGTTCAATATTATTCAAAATCGCTCATCGCCTCGGAAATGCAAGTCTAAGCCTCGAAGATCCGATTCGATTGATTCAGTCGCTCCAATAATGAAGTCGAAAGTCAGGAATGGCAACCGGCGAGACGTGACGCGTTGCAGCGCGGATGCTGCACGACCACCGCATCAGAGCGCGACTCACCGCTACGCGTTATAAATGCCCGTGGCGCGGCTGTTAAGCGATATACGCCTGCAGTATTCGCGGGTGGCCGCCTTTCGCGCGGCCATCCGCCGATCGTATATCGGTAAGTACAACTTCGTTCTCCCGCGTATGGAGATGTTATGCCCCCAGTGCGTACGTACTCTTGCGCGCAAAAAAAGCGCACGCATACTGGCGCACGTGCCGGCGCGCTCGCTCTCGCACGCTCGCCCGCTTTCGTGCCCGGCGGATCTCGCGCGGCGTACGGCCGATCCTTTCCCGATACACGATCGCGCGGCGCGGGCTGATGACGATACCACTCGCCAGAGCGTGAGAAGGGGCGGGAATAAATTTACGATTTACGCGGGACGCTCGATTTCAATTTGCATAAGTAGTAAATACGCCGGGATTGAGTTACGCAACGAGTAGCGCGAGTTTCGTTTCGGCTGGTGAATGCCTGAAAATATCGCTTATTTCGCGCGGGAGGGAATATCGCATTGTGCAACTCGAAGCCCCGGGATTAATGTCCGCGGCTGGCGAGGATCGGCGAGGATCTTTTTATGATAATCGCGGATGAAATCGATATAACTGGTACTACGCGGCCGTAATAATGTAATCGTTTTATTGCTGGATCGTTTTTCGGAAAACCGGAGCCAACTCCACGGCAAATAATCGCTTATTGTTGCCGTGAAAAATACTCTCTGCTATTGCGTCAATACCTAAATTTCTCATTCAAAATATAATTGTTTGTTTCTCATTGAAAATATACCTTGTTTCGTTTTCTGCAGTAACCAGTGAGTTAAACTCGACAATGGAATTTCAAAATGAGGACGTTACGATTTATCGACAAACTCTCTATGTAACCGTCGCCGACTTTGCGTTTGTGTTTAGATTATTATATGTATTATTGTTTCTGTTCTTCTGTTTTTATCGTTACACTGAGGATGGTCGAATCTTATGTGCCGAAACGTTTGTAAGTGATTACCTATCGATGAATATAATTTGTGAGCAACTTGACCTAGCTCTGGCTTTTACATACCGGTTGACTTTAATTTTATTTTTAATTAATTGAAAATATAATGTAACAGCATTAAGGAATTTAATTCAATTAGGATTAATAATAATCGACGTTCATAGCGAATTGGCGATGAATTCATTGTTATTCGACTAGTCAAATTCATTTTTCCACTTAATTCTGTATTAACCGTCACATTTGCATGAGAAATTGTAAATAATACATTCAACAGAAATGTGTAGATACAAACGAATGGCACACAAAGCTGGCACAGAAAACGGCAGATGAATCGCGATATATAAATCGCTGGTATAAGCGCAACACTGAAAACCCTGGTCTCTCCAGGATCAGGTTTATCCGCAGGACGAAAAGCGACAGGGCAGCGTGCGTGAGTGGAGGAAAAAAGAAAATAGCGCGGCGCGATCGCGTTATCGACGCTTCGTCGACTCTTTAAATCAGAGAAGGTAGGCCGAGGGTGAAGCGTAAGTGGGGATGAACGGGGAGAGAATACTCCTTTCCTTTCCCTCGGTTCTTTCTTTTTTTTTCTCCGCTCCGTGACGAAGAGGGGACACGCGCATGCAGATCACGTCGGTTGTAGCCAAGTGATAGCGTATCTGTGGGCGGCGCGTGCGTGTGGTCCTTCTATGTCCCCTTAGGTCCCCTCCTTACAGTTCCTCCGCTTCCACCGTGCTCGAGGGTACGCTTTGCTCCGTTCCGAATCATCATCAACGCGCCGCGTCCGAAGCCGCTCGCCGTCTCTCGTGTGATTATCGTCGCTTCCACCTTTCCTCTATTTATTGAAGTAATATATAATTGATCGATCCAGATGGCTTCGCGATGCAATCAGCTTAATTAAAAACAGTTTGTATAAGGTGATGACAAGCTCGCCCACGCGGCCACTCTATAATTACACAAGCGAAATTCTATCTTCTCTCCGCGACGTGAATTTTCTTGAGCAATGAAAGAGAATATGATAATGTATAATCTGTGCACAAATTATTATGTAAACACTTTTCAAATAATTCGCCGTTAATCGCGCATGGATGCATAATAATTGGTTGAAGACAGGCGAATAATTTTCGAGATAATGCAACTTCCATTAGCTTTCATAGAACGCAGGCTCGGAGATATAAAAATGTATAATTTGTTTAACACGATATCACGCCACGATATGTAGCTGACACGTCACAATTCTTATCATCTGCTTCTAGTGAAATATCATTCGAGAACCTTTATAATACTTTAAAATTCGTAATATTGATTCTACCTTTATCTTCTTTATTTCTTTATCTTTATTAACCCTTTGACTAGTCCGAGAGTACAGTTCGAAACGAACTTGCGACCAGCGCGATGATATCTGTTAAAATGTTTGCATATCAAACATGTTACTTCCGTCGAAATTTTTTTTTAGGACCCTGTTAATCTGTCAAATATTTTTCGGACGCGATACAGAGGTATTTGAGCTTAGGCTTGATACGGGACACGACGCTACTACGAACGAACGTGACATAAAGGCCCCCATCGGAAAGTCATTTCTGTCGCTTTCAGCATACAGAACTCTTCGTCCCCGGCGGCATCTCTTCGTCCTCGTGTCTCCCATATGTATATCCCGGCGCCGTAAACATGATTTTGCCAACACGGGTTTGCGGTAAAACGACGGGCCGTAATTCCCGGTAAAACGTCCGCCGGTAAGAATTTATGAAAGCTCGCCCGGGAGTCTCCGGGTTTACGTGCGCATACACGAGCAACGTGGCACAACGTATGCTCCTTTTGAGACGACGACGAGTCGGCGGCAGTCGACCGGTCGCGCAGGATTCGCCTTATCGACGCGAGGCGACCCGTCTTCGGGTACATCCTCGCCGAGATTCGAAATAGCGTCGTTTCAGGCCCAACCTCCCTCGCTCTTCCCGGCACCTCCGAGAAAAGAAACGTAACTCTAGACGTATCGCGGTGTCATGTCCTGCGCACCTGGCGGCCCCGTTCTTTGTAACACAATACACGCGTTTCGTCCTCCCGCTCCCTCCGCCTCCCCCTCTTTAGCCTCATCTTCGCTCGCCGTATCCTTTTGTCTCTCCTTCCCTCTGGTCCGTCATCAGCTTATACCTAGTCCGGATATGTGGAACAGATGAAAAAGGAGGAGGCGAAATCCTGGTTTAATACCAGGGGGAATGGAATTCGGTCGAGCTCTGATGTACTCCCTCGACGAACCTGTTTAAGTGAATATGTATTCTACAACATCTGGCGTAGTATCTAGGAATTGGCGCGGGACACAAGCGCGTCTCTTGATGCTTATAAAGGTTCGGGTGGCTGCAGAATTTCGTGCAGCCACCACAAGCAGAACCTGCATCGTGTGTGCCAAATTTAGACGCGTGCCGCTTGTGCGACATCAATTTTAGCGAAATTGAGCGATAATATTTTACAATTATATTCGTACTTTTCGTTAAAACGAAGTACGTAAAAAGAAATGATATTTTATTGAAGAGCCGAATGTTACACAAACTAGCTTCGAATTGATTTGTTTATCGCTCAATTCCGCGAGAGGCGAAGAGAATAAATGAGGATGCAGACTGTGAATTAAAAAATAATAATAAATGTTTATTTTACACACATCAAAGAGAACACAACGGATACGTACAGTAGGTACAGAATTTAACAATGGAGACGAGCAGAAATTCCTCGACTGTACGTCACTCCAGAGTATTGCATATTGCATATTGCATATTGCATACATAGAAATAATTACAGATCTATAAACGTGCACGAATCCGTATACGACCTTATCATAATGCACATAACAATGATTACACTCTAATCGTTAACGATGATATATAATGTAGGCAATGAGAATCGAAGATTCGAGTACGCGGATAGAAACCGAAATCTCAATCATACCGGCGCGGTGCAATCGAATCAGTCATCAGAATCGAGTAAATCAAATTATAAACTCTATGACGTCATAATAATTAAATGTCGATTCGTGTTGTTGAGAGAAGCGTGCCGATGCAGACAGGATTTTATCTCGATGATCTCGAGAGAAAAAAAAGTCTAGATGCACTAAGACGTCTCTTGGAGAACAACAGTATTTGAACCGGAAACGGGTATTCCCGACGGCGGTGGCGACGACGGCACCCCCAGATTGTGAGTCAATGAGTGTCTCCTCAGATCACAGTTCCTGCGAAAGACTTTGCCGCAGGAGGCGCAATGATAAGGCTTAATGTCCGTGTGCGTGAGGAGGTGAGTCTTCAAATTGCTCCTCTGATTGAAACTTCTGGCACAGACGGGACATTTATGCGGCGACTCCTCCATATGCAAAATTTTATGTACTGCCAGGGTCCTGCTCTGGCAAAATCCTTTGCCACACTCGGCGCATTTGAACGGTTTCTCTTTGCTGTGGATATACCTGCAACGATCGAGAAAACTTTTTCGGTTTGCATCTTACGGTTAAATTTCTGTTTAACTATAAATTCTTATTAAGCCGTGTCGCTTGCTTTTTGAAATTAATATATTTAACGGAGAAATATAACATGTATATAAATAAATTTGATAAACTTTAAGGGATGAAAAGGGAGATATAAGATAACCTCAAAAAATATGACAAATACACTGTCAATATAATTAACGTTATTCTTAGATAAAGATTAAAATTATCGTGACAGTAAAATTATGGATGTACAAATGGACATTATGACATGTTGACCATTAAATATAATATATACGTCATTCGATCATCGTTTTAATTACGTGAGGAGGCGTTCCGCGGATTTGCCTGTGTTCGTAAATCGTATGATGCCTGTAATTAATTGCGACGCGATAAAGAGATATGCGCGGTCTCTAAATCTTCTATCGCGAAAGAAACATATTCGGCAAGTAACCTTAAACATAACGGCGCCATCAAACTTTTTATGCCCTAATATTTTTAACTCAATTTTATTACATAACACGCTGTTGCAATATTTTTCTAACATATCCGTACAGGATATAAATACATTTGCGCGAAACAATTATTTCAATTGGTGTGATTAAAAGTGTCACAATGACGCAACTGAAAATTTATTCACTCATATTGTTGTTAATATAATTCAAAGCATAAATTATCTTCTCTGATAAATGCGCGCTGATGTGCGCATCCATTTGATAATATATATGTAAATGAAATTCGAAATATCCTATCACTTAAAACACATCAATTTTAGACAAAAACCGATTTATATTCCCGAACTTTTATTATTCACATTATTATCATTTAATGTTAAATTGTTTTAAAATTCGAAATAAAAACTCGCTAATCTACGCGATCGATTAATCAATGTTCTGTATTAATTATTTCATAATTAAATTATTCTCGATGCTTATCAGTATTACAAAGCATATTTTGCACGCGAAAAATATACTCTCATAAAAAAAAATAAATAAATAAAATTGAAAGACTAACGTTTCAGGCAATTGGCGCGCAATTATTGCGTTACCTGTGATCTCTAAGATGATCCTGCCGTCGGAAGGCCTTGCCACATATATCGCACGAATACGGCCGCTCGTCGGTTTGTGTCCTCTCGTGGATCAACAGATTGTAGCTCTTTGTGAACTCTCGGTTGCAGAACTTACAAATAAATTGTTTCTTGGGCCTGGACGTGCGGCAAGTCCTTGATACACTCGAGTTCACCGCGACCGAAGGATGTTGCGCGGACGAGGAGGAGGAGGACGACGAGGACGAGGCCGAGGAGCATCCCGAGGAAGTCGACGACGCGAGGGATGTCGATGCGTTCAAGGACGATGATTGAGATACCGCAGTCGTCGACGTAGTCGCACGATTCCCCTCAGATATTCGCCGCAACAGCAGCTCGTTTGTGGACGAAGAGGCTGCAGTCGCGGACGCCTCGTGCAGCAGAACCTCCTCTTCCTCGAGAAGCGCCAGATCCTCCTCCGTGTCGGTTACAAAATCAAGCCGCGCCTCGTCGTCCTCGCCGATCGAGGCAGCCGATCGAAACAGTTGATCGGCCGTCAGCTGGTCGTTTTTGATGGTCGCCAAGTTTAGCGTGGCGTCGATATTCAACGGCGAGCACCGTTGACTGCCGATGATAGTGGAGGTGCTCGTCGCCGTCTGCGCGACGCCGGGCGTCGCGCTCGTCGCGTGAAGGCGTTGAAGCGTCAAGTATGTTTCCAGCGCCTGGAAATTCAAGGCTGTCGCGGCGGCGTGTCCCGGCGGCAGGAGCGCCGCGCGCTGCAGAACGGAGAGGAGAGCATTCTGAAGTCGGAGAGTGACACTTTGGAATGCCAAATTGGATAGTTCGGAGCCAGTCGTGAGGCCCGTGACGTCAGCCTCATGCAGGTCCGTCACAATCGCATCCGACGAGGGCGACGACGAGGACGAAGTGGATGACGGTACCATTACGAGTCTCCGTTGTTCCTGTTCCTCTTCCTGCTGCTGCTCCTGCTGCTGCTGCTGCTGCTGCTGCTGTTGTTGCTGCATCCTCCACCGTCGTTCGAATCGTCCCGGATTAGCCGCTGGAACGTGCACCTCCCAAGTTCTGCCGGTATCATTGGCAACGCGATCAAGAATTCCTGAATCGTCCTGATTGATCCTGACAGGTGTTGTGCCGGTGTCCCCTTCCGATGTCTCTCGTGCGATTTACTCTTGCACGACCTTTCCCGAGCTCGGTCACATGTTCCCGCCGATTACCGTTGCCGCCCGAGACGGTCGTTTTCCGTTTGAACAGGATCACTCGATTCGGTGCGCGAAAACGGCAAAGAGGGTACGCGCGCGCGATGCTGGCGGTGCAAAGGCGCCCCGAAGACTGCTCCTGCCCGTCGTTGTCGGGTACTGCTGGTGGAGACACCTGGTGGTAGGTATCCAAGTCAAAATGGGCCTGTCCGCGGGGAACGGGCCTTCGGATTCAGGAGAGAGAACCACAGCTGGTCCGCGATCACCGGCCGGCCCGCCGTTTCGACGGGTACGCGCCGCGCGTACGTGGGGCCTCACGGTCTGACGTAGGTGCTGTTGCGTGCCACGATAGCCAGCATCTACGGCGGACGTACACGCGTGCGTGTGCGGGGGAATCCGGAAACATGAATCGCGATCGCGATCGCGGGTCAACAGCTGTTTAACCCGCGAGTGTAGGCTTCACCGAATGCGCCTTGCTTTGCATTCAAATGGCAAATATACGGCGAATATTTTCATCCGCGGACGCACACCGTCAAATCAGATTAAGCCGGCTTTAAGAATAACTCGTGTGTTTTATGGAAAATCATTTAATAATAATAATTCCGTTTGGCATTCAACACGGATTCGAATAACAGTTCATATATTTTCTCATTGTCAGACGCTAACTGATTCCGAAAACTGTTTCGATTACGGCACAACGGTACTCTTGTAGAAGGAAAATAATTTCTAAATTGACTTTAACACGTTGCATATATAAATATGTTTCTTTTTTTTTAATTTATGTACCTTGTAGGATGTAGCGGAAAGGAAAATGGATAAAGAGAATCTTTTGTCTTAGCCTTGAAATTGTGATGCTTATTGCACGATGATTTTTCAATGAGATTTTCAAATATAATTTATCTTCTTGAAAGATTGATTTTAATGTAGCAAAGATACATTTAGCATTTAGTATAATTTTTTTATAATTACAATAAAAGTGTGCAATCGTGCGATTATTGTACTTTATAGATTAATTTTTACAAATACATTTTTTATAAATAGTACTAAAAAACAATAGAAATGTGATGACACATTTCACGCGTTAGAAATATTTTCAACCCGATATGATCCGAACGGACCCACGCGCACGATCAACTTGAGTTTCTAATATCTCAATGGACACCGTGGAAGTGAAATAAAGCTGAGTGAATAGTAATGCCGCGTTGAAAAAAAGGCATCTCTCCCGCGGTACCGCGCCTCGTGTGCCGCAGGTTCGTTCCGACTCAGCTCAGACTCGGCAAAGCCGCAACAATTTACGACGGCAATTAATGCGCGCGAGTAAGCCGTGTATAGCGCCTATAGTTAGCTGCCTCTTCAGTGTCGGAGCGCACCGAAAGCGAGGGAGAAAGAGAGACATTCCATGCACGCGCTCTCGTGCGCGCACATGAGGCAAGGGAAAAAAAAATGAGCGAGTAACCGGCGAGAAAGGGAGAGAGAGAGAGAGAGAGAGAGAGAGAGAGAGAGAGAGAGAGAGAGAGAGAGAGAAGAGAAGAGGAGGAGGAGGAGGTAGGAGGAGGAGGAGGGAGGAGACGGACGACGACGAGAGAGAGAGAAGAGAGAGAGAGACAGAGAGAGAGAGAGAGAGAAGAGAGGCGAACCGAGGCATCGGGCAGACTAAATAATATTATAGGTGGTGTTCTCACGGTCCCCGGGACGCCGCGGGCCAACTCGTCACCCCTCTCCCCCGCACGGCCCCTCTCCCTGGTCTTATTCTCTCCTCCCGCTCTCGCCGAACGCCTCTCTACTCCCCCGCGCGCGTAAGGCTTCGCCCACGCTGGGCCCTCACGGAGGGCCCCACGAAGTCGTTTGAGTCCCGCCGGTGTGGAACGGAGAGATCCCGATCGGGCAGCGCCAGGCGCGGACGAGGACGCACGATGGGGTCAGGGGTCACCTCGCGCTCGCTGACCGTCACCGTGGACGGTTCCTTCTCTCCTTCACCGCTCCTCCCCCTTCTCTTTTTTCCTCCTCGGCGTCTCTACGTCGTGGAGGGCTCCCTCCCCCCCCTCCACCCCCCTGCGCTTCCTCCTCCCGCGCGTTCGTCTTTTACTCCCCTTTCGTAACTCCGATGCCCTCGCGCGAGTCCGACTTTTCTCTTCCTTCCCCGAGTCCTTCTCTCCCGGTGAAGTCCTCCGCCGCGAAAGCCGACAGGCTCTCCGCTTAGTTAATCAAGCAGCGAGTTAATTGCCCGGCTAGAACGTAATACGCGGCCGCGATACGTGCGCGGGAACTTTATTTGGACACGCTGACGCGCTGAATAAGCACACCGTTTTCGTCCAAACTGGTCTAAAAGTCTCGGGCTTAGAATGGTGAAGTCCGTACACGCGCATAGAAGAGTACGTCACGCTAATCTGTGCTCGTATCTTATCGTGTCTCAACGTGTCACAATATATTAGCATGCGAGAGTCACGGTATAGTAATGTCAATGCTCTCGCATGACTGTACGTGCTTTCGGAGCGACAATATCGCATAGAATCTTCACACGGCGAGCGTATTGAGTATTTTGTTGCGTCATTGGAATTCTATATTCGAAATTTTCACCATACCATCTTTCCATTTAGTAATCGTATAAGAGTTATAACAGGAAGCGTGAGCCGTTTGTCGATTACTTTTAGATTTCCAAAATTTTTCGTACACGCCCTAAAAGAGTAAAAAAACTTTCGTCGGAAGAAATAAAGTAAGCACATTTCCATTTTTTATTATAAAATAAGATGTTCCAAATTTTAGTGTTATTCATATACTTATTTTGGAAAACTGTCATGTCAAGTCGTTATCTACGCAGTTGAGCGTATTATTGCGAGCAATTAGACAATATCTGGGATCGATCAATCGATTTTATATGTCAGAAAATCTTCCCAACTGTGCTCTTTAACTCCAGGAGGCAAAAGGTTATAAGCGGTGTTCAGCGTCGATAAATAAAGTAACGCAGCGTGACATGAGAAATTCCTCGCGATCGGCGACCTGCGTTGAATCGAAAAGAAAGCGTCCGAATCACTGTCCTCGAAACTATTCTAACGTGCTTAACACACTTAATGATGGCGCGAGCAAGACGTGTACGTATTTATGGAAAATACTTTCTAAAAGGCGAGACTTATGAAATCGTTAGGCGCGTGTAATAAAACTTGAAATCGTAAAATCACGAACAGCGACACCGACGCGCATTCGTTTTTCCTCAAATTCACCCGTACAACGTGGGTGCAATCGAGGAGAGCCATTTCGAAAGTGGCGTCTGCCGACGAAACGATTGGGCTTTCTTCAGCCGGCGAGCACCATCCACCTTCCTTTCAATTTGCTCTTGTTTCCTCAATGCGGTGAAGCGCAGAGGGAGGCCGCGACATCCCGCCGCGTAGATAATTAGATCGCTACTAAGCACCACCACTTTCACGCATCTTCACCTCCGTGGCCGCGTACAACCCGGGCACTTGTTTCTCTCCTTGTTTCCCGCCGCCCATCCCTTCGCGCGAGTTCTCGCCCCGTTTGTTTCTCTTCGGCTACATGCGCGTTCGCGGCGTGATACAACCGGTCCCCCTCGACGTGATAAAGGAAAGCACTCATCGCTGCTACTTTGACCTACCACGACCGCGTGATTTCAATAATTATCCCTTTCTATCTAGGTTCTTCTCTCCTGCTTTGACTGCTTTTACATATATGATAATCATATAATGATAATTTTTATTTGTTTTATAGATTTTCTCATCGACCTGTTAATAATTTTTGCCCGATGAGATCAAATTAATTCATTAGGTGCAGAAATTAATTTTTCCCAAGGTTTCGTAAAATAAAAAATTTATTAAAAAACTCGAAGGATTTAAATAATCGAGACATCCTCCATTATTGTCGATGATCTTACCGCATTTCTCGAGCAGCAAATGCCGTCGCAATAGAAAGTTGGCTTTGAGGCAATAAGAATAAAGTCAGTCGGAAAGAAATAATTTCTACATCAAATAAAACGCAATGCAAACAAGATAAACGTAATTTTCATGACAAATGCGGGTGAATCAGATCGATGGACGAAACAAATTGTTTGTAAATATTTTATAACATTTAAAAAAATTGATCTGATTTATGTGCATTTATATATTTGCTTTTACTAAAAAATTATAAGTTTTGGAATATTTTATCTGCAAACTTGTTTGAATTATTTACTGGTATGATACTGTCGGGACACCTTGTATATTATTCTTATAAATGTGCTGTCTTAGAACAACGACTTCAAGACAGGTAACAAAGGGGGGAGCAACGTCTTCACTTTTACACACCGTCGTCTATGAAGTCTCGCCTAAATCTTCGCCCCATCATCTTTCCTTCCTTCTCCCTGTGACCGTTCTCTTTTCTCATTGCCCTTTTCTCTCCTCCGGCCGGTTCGATTCTTTCTTCCTCTAACCGATTACACGCTCGTTGGTGGCGCGCTATCGCGAGACGGCCGGGACACAAAGAGGTGAAACGAACGAGAAGATCGGGACGATGAAGAGAGAACAGAGAGCACGGACGTCCGTGGACCCCCCGTTCGGGACCGCGAGATTGATTTGTCCAATTACGCTAAACAATCCCCGGGATAATTCGATCGCCGGCATCCTGGGAGCGTTCGCGGGGTCGCCCGGCTCTCAGCGAACTTTCTGCAATTTGTGAATGTAAATTCCCGTTCTCCCGATATACACACGTCTCACGACGACGCGAAATTAGCGGATTCGTCGGCCAAACGAGCCCACGAATTTATCGTGTCTGCAAACGCGGATCGTTAGCTGCGCTTTTGACTAATGAGCCCGTCGTGCCTTTCTCGGAGCGAAAAGAATAAACTCGCGCCACTCAATAAGACAAATGTGTCACCTATGCTATGTGAATTCGCTTCTTTTCCACGTTACGTGAGTCTGCGAAACTCACGAATCTCGCGCCGGAAATCGGGTTATATAATTAATGAGAAGATATCGAGGAAGCGATGATTGAACAGATTGATTTCGTGATATATGACTGCTCATTTATTTAATTGAAGCCTTACTTCTTGACAGGGTTATGAGCGATTGTTAGGTATTTATTTCGCACGGATCAGTTCGTCGGCAGCCTAAGTAAGAATGGTGCGAGGATTATTTTTTTTTTCTCTTGATAGAGTCGATATTCAAACGAATAATTATGCACTGGAAAAGCATTCTCAAGTAATTATTAGTATACGTTATATGCTAAAGCAATTTATTGGTCAATATAATCGGTTTCGAAATGATTCTGGTT